GGGGGAAGCCGCTGCCCCCCGGGGGTTCCGGCGCCGAGCAGGAGCGGTCGGTTAATGCAGCAGCACGAGTTGCGTGAGCACTTGGTGTGCTCGCTTATAAAGGCTCGTAGCCGGGAGCTCTCGGCCTTTCCCCTTCACTGCTTAACTCGGTGCCGCGCCGCCGGCCTGCGCCTCTCCCAGCAGGGCGGGCGGGTTCGCGCCCTGGCTGCAGGAGCGGCAGGGCAGCGGCTCTATAGGGGAGGCCATACGTTGTTCAACCAAGCAGAAACGGGTAAAAATCAGTTTTCTGGCCCACAACCCTCCTTCTTGGTCATAAAGTTCTCATGCTCAAAACCAGGCATCAAAAGGTTTGACAAACATCTCTGAATATTTCTTCCAACTTAACCACTTAGTCTCCCCTTTCCACCACTTTCTGAATTAATACAAACCATTGAAAAAACATTTCCATCTCTTGATAAACTTTCAGTAGTAAGCTAGTAGATGCAGAGCAGAAGTCTGTATTCTCCCAGACATTTATGGGCTACTGCTGTGTGTATTTCATTTCTACTCAGATAATACAGGGGGCTAAGTGTGGCAAAGAAAGCATTTTTCTATTCTTTGAGAGTGAGAAAGTTCAAGTCTAACCTTCAAATGTAAAGACGAAACCATCTGGCAGCAAACTGTTCATTCAGTTCACTACCATTGAACAGTAAAACCTTTATTTCCAAACTTGCTACACTTTTGTATGAAAAGCCACACTCTATAAAGAGCCAATCATTAGTGAAACATTAGAAGAGGTTACATTTTGTACAACAGTTTGTTAAACAAACCCCTTTTAAAGTAATTCTTCATTGTAAATAAGGGACAAAGAACAATTGATATGAAATAGAAGCCTGTCGCTAATACAGAGTATATCCCTTTTTGCCTTAGAGCAACAGTTTAAATACACCTATTGCAGCACATCCATTAACAGAACCATTAGAGTCAGTTTGACTATATCAACTGTTAGAATTCTGTTGTCTTCATCTGATTTATAGACATCTTCAAAAAAAAAAAAAAAGAGAATTATGAGTAACACCTAAACACTTTAAAGATCACAGATGCAAAGAAGTCTTCATTTCAATTCAAGTTCAGAACTTGAGCAGGGGGGAATCCAGATTTTCTTTGTTTACATCAGGACTCAGAGTGATAAGAGGCGAACTCAAATCAATTAGCTGAAAGAAAAGTAATAAAAATTTAGCTATTGTAGTGAGCCATTGTACATAACTACTAGCAGTGATAATCTCTATTAACATAGTCTTCTCAAGTACTTTTTTGTTTAGGATTCCTATTAGCATCCAGAAGACCAATACAAGCACCACGCTCAAGCTTTTAGGTTCAGGTTTTCTAACATCTAGCTCATTCTTAGACAAGCACAAGCTTCTCACAGGGTAGTTATTTGCCCATACTCATCTTAAAAGCCTAAAAGGCTTTTCTAAGTTTCACTACTACACACATTCAAATAACACTGTCATCCAGGCAGGGCAGAACACTTCTGAGATCCTCTGAACGTGTCCCAGAAATCAGACTTCTGTGATCCTCTTTTGAGATACTTTGAATGACCTGATACTAAATTGATCCCAACCACATCTAATGTTGTCAAAGGCTACATTCTCATAGTTATCACCATTCATCTGGCAATATCTAAAGGCATCTACCTTCAAGCCACACCTGTACAAAAAGCACTTGCCCAGAAATGCTTGTCAAATTTAGAGTAGATACCAACACATCTTTCAGTGAAGGAGGGGATTAGGAGAGAAGTTAAACAGGAGAGACAGCCTTGCTTTTTTGCTGAAAATGAGCTGCTGTTGCCAAGAACAGAAAATTTGTAAGAAAAGAAGTCAGCATGCCTACCCTACTGAAGAATTCACTTCCTGCTTCAGAACAGTTTAATTCTTTAACTGCTTTAAGCATTAAATTCTCCATCCTTCTTTTCCTATTTGCAGATTGCTCACTGAACTCTGAAGTACAGTTTTATTTTAGACATTATGTTCTCTTTACTTAAGAGCACCCTAATACATAGTATCGCACTGAACATATTGAGCTAATATTAAATAATTCTTACAGTACTGTGGAACTGGTCTGCAGACAAGTATATGGAGCCGGTTGACATTTTTCTACTAGTGTATTTTCACCAGAAGACTTGAACATAAAACTTACCTTCACCTGCCCTGAGAATGTAGGCTTTAGAAGAGTAATCTTATTCACTTCAGGAGTATTGGAAAGGTCAATCAGAGGTCTACTTTCACATTCCAATGTGTTTGGAAGAGATTTGTCTACTCCAACATCTACTAGTAAGGCCTTAAAAAAAAAAAAACAACCAACAAACAGATAATTCAGGTTTTTCCCTGTTCTCTATGCTTCCTTCATTTAGGCAGTTAATTTAGCTTATACAGTTGTAATAACCACAGGACAGGCTTAATTTACAGGTTGGGTATTTTTCATGCAGGATTGTTTGCACACAGTGTAAAAACCTCAGCTCTTGTTCTGCTAAGGGCTGCATCACAAATAGGGAAAATGCAGTGAGACAAAGCAAAAGAGCTCCTTGGGGCATAAAACAATCTTTCATTTATAAGATTTAAGTCAGATTTAAAAAAGAGTAATAACGCCCTTAATATTTAAATAACTTGACTGCAATTATTGTGCAATGTTAGACATATAAACTATTCTGCAGCGCTCTCAAATTTAGTTATGCTTTTGTCCAATTTAACTACTCTATACATGTGCTAAGCAATTCTGTAACATACTGTGTCATCAAGCAAGATAACAAGGAAAATACTGATGCAATAATATCCAGTAATTATTCTACACATGTATACTTCTAAATCAATAGCCACTTTTACAGGTTAATATTTCAGATCTACCAGTTCAGTCCTTCCTCCTTAATGCCCATGGAATGCTAACTTCCCAGCATGAAGGCAGTAGATTGTTGGGAGAATGAAAAACTGTTCACTGGACTAAGTACATGACATTTAACTAAGTTTACTGCTACATGGACTTTGGGGTTTAATCCTCACTCATTGTGGGCAGGTTCGTACAGCTGTTAAGTGATTGAATTTAGCTAAAGCAGTGCATTTTATTTTATTTTTTTAAGAGGGCTTTATGGCTGCAATAGGAACTGCCCTGTGACACTGCTTTTCTAATTGAATCCACAAGGATTTCATAGCATTTATCCAGAATTGGAAATGTAATATGAAATCTGCAGATTTGACCATTCAGCTTTGAGATGGGAGCAAGTTTAGTGGAAACACTGAACAGATGTCTAGTGCTGAAGACAGGCGCTAGAGGGTGCACACACTTAGGTATTCCATTTTAACTTTGTGTGTACATTATCCTTCATCTTGAAATTATTTGTTTTAAAGCAGTTTGCTTACTAGTTGTGTAGAAAAAAAATGTATTGTCATTTCTTACCTCAGTTTGTTTCTCTTCAGCCAGCTGTTTTTGTACTTCAGCCTCTTGTAATTCATTTTCTACCACTTCTGTAGCATTTTTTTCTGGTGAGAAGTTAAGTGCAAGAGGTAGCACAAGTGGAGGAGATATATCATCTTCTGAAGAAGATATCCATGTCTTACTCTCTCTTGTCTGTTTAGAACTAGGGAAAAGAGCATTGGCAGTAATTGAATTCTATAACCAGCATGAAATACTAAGATGACAGGCAAGCCAATGCCCTAACCCAATTTTCTCCTTTTTTACCAAAAGTTTTAATGACCAAAAGGCTTCCCATATGTACATCCAGAAGTATGCTAGTTACCTGCAAAATACAAGATATTTCATGCTGCAATAAATTTATAGCCTACCCATGCAAAAAAAGAGCTAAACAACTTCATAATGATGATTATTTTAATCTTAAATTGACATATACATGCAGCCTAAACTTCACACATGGGATTTTGGGTTTTTTTAGACTTCGAAGAAACAACTAGCAAACAAGTACTGATACTGCATATCACCGAGAAACTCATTTCAGCCCCTGCTAAGAGGAAATACTGACACCAGCTGAAGGACCAGGGCATGTAATCTGAGTAGCATGATAAAGTAATTGTAGAGAATCATTAGTCTTTTCTCTCAAGAAAACAATATTTCAGACATTTAGCCTAGGTAAACATAACATAGGAAGAGTCTTCTAGCCATGACTCATTCCTGCTTTAATACTGTTCATCTCCACCAGCCACAAAGCAAGCCTGCATACATATATATGGCACTTGTGAGATGTTGAATTGATAATATGAAAAAACCAACATTATGTTCAGAGGAAACAAACATAATTAACAACAGTGTAGGATTCATCCATCCTGCAAGCAATTATTTCAAGTGAAACAAACCTGGAGAGAAAAAAAAAATGTCAGTCAACTAAATCCTTGGCTTTTTGACTGATGCTTTAGCAAAGTGAAATTTTATGGAAGTGTTGGCAACAGTATAAAACAAAATTAAGAGTAATATGTATTTTAACCAGCTACTTCCATTCATCAGAAGGTAATAGCAAAATAACACCAATGCCAAATATGTTTTCAGTCAGAGCATCAGATACAAGGTCTTAAGTTGTCTGCTAGCTCAAGAAACACAAATAACTTCCTATTAGAGATTATAATTCTTTAATGTTAGATATTCACTCATCTCAGTAAGGCTTATAGTGTTTTATTAGTCATAAGATAGAAATCTTTATTAGGCCTATACAGCATCTGTGCTCAGATGCTTTCTTCTAATATTAGCAGAGGTCCTTGAAACCTGAAAGTCATAATTAAAATTCATTTAAAGGCAGTTTGTCTACAATACTAATTTCGCGGAAGGTTCTGTCTTACCCAGCTGTAAAAGTCTTTTTGGTAGAAAAGCTGGAACGGTGGCGA